CAAAAGGATCATTTATTCCTTTGTTCCTTTTTAAAATGTAAAATATGCATCTTTAAATATTGAATTTCTAACTTCCACACCAATACAGCTTGTTTTCTGTAATCTAGAGGTAGGTTTCACAAGATTATTTTTAAAACGCGTATCGTGGTCATTATCGATATTTTTTTGATATAACATAATATGGCAACGATTATCTGACTATTATACAGAGTAATTATATGCAAAGATCGGAAAAAGGACTTACAGCTATCAAACGCAGACATATTTGCTATTATTCTAATTGCTTTCTTTTACTTAACAAATACACTTTTAAGACAAGTACCCCAAACTACCCCAAGATAGTATGCCATACGACATCAGGAAGTGCAAAAAAGGATGATATATTATTAATGCCGCATGTTGTCCTGCTGTAAAACGAATTTTCCGAATTGCAAACAAAGCCGATTAAAGTCGGTCATTCAATTTTATTATATGTTCTTGCCAACCCAGTGAGATGTCTATAAAAACACCCAAAAATTTAGGTTTTTTAATCTCCCACCACCGCGGAGCTGAAACTCTACTTTAGCTGTTTTTGATTCATTTAAAAACAGCTGATTGGCAGTAAACCATATTCTCGCTTCCTCCAACACCGAGTGGAAGCTGTTACGCAGAGATAGCTCCTTTTTGCATCTTGTCGTGACCCTGAGCGGTTATGGTTGATGAATAAAACTTTGAAGAACTTTACTGTAGTTTTATTGAGAAGACAAATTTACGAGTTAGAATAACTAAGATTAATTATTTAATAAATGAGAAAATATAATGAACTTAATTTTAACTATATGGAGTATGAGAACTATTCTACTGTATGAAGTGTCGAAGAGTCGAAAGAACAAGAACATCAGAACGAGGTTTGTAAAAGGTTTTATATGAAATATGAATGACGTAAATACTGGACACTGGTCTACGTGTTGCGTGATAGACATGTGGTCAGATCTTGTAAATAGTTTATAATTAATTTTAGAGATAATATTCTATTAAGATGGAAAAGCATTGAAGCGCGTGATAGTTTAGCACGCAAATAAAAGAATTTTGAAATGTACTAAATTGCTTTTGATAAGATTGCGAATAAGGAACTAATAAGAAATTGAACTTTGACATGTTACGTTTGTATGTTAGATTACAAGAGTAAATGATATACAGGGTATAACAATCCTCCCCCCAAAAGTGTTTTGCTAGTCTTAAATAGAGTAGGAAAAAACTAATGTGTGAAATTTAAAAGTACATTAGAATTAACAAAGAAGGGATAATTGTTTTACTTGAGGTGAGTATAATATTGTTAATAAAGAATACAGTAATAATATGTGTGTGAGATGAAAGTTCTTATACACTAGTAAAATATTATATTAACAATTAAGATTAATAAAGTTAGAGAATTTATATAAATATAAATTGATCCATAAGGGATATTAAGGATTCCCGAAGGAATGCGAATATTAGAACATAAAGCTAGGTTGACACGGGTAGTGAAGCACGCTCGTGGCTCACACTTTCGTGAGCTACGAAAGTACCAAAAAGCCATTCGTGAAAAACGAAAATCGTCCAGCGATAGTAGGCTGTTTACACGGCAAACGTGCCAGTCTTCTATAAAGTTCCTTTCGTGAAAGGTTGTACCGGGTGTCCCACTAAGAATAGCTCTCGGCTGTATCTCGGAAAGTATTAGCCGTAGGGCTTACGGAAAAAATATTTATAACTAAAGGAGCTATGAGGAATTACGGCCGCTAGGTGGCGCAACTGCTATGGAAAATAAGAAAATATATTTATTATATATAATAATTTTGCCTAGATAATGGGTACTGTTGCACTGATTCTCTAGTCGCTTGTCTTTTTAATAAAACACTCGCGAGCTTTTTATACTTATTTAATTCTAGAAAAATAACTAATTGTTGTGAATCAAATATTAAAAGTGTGCAGTTGCCGGCAGCCATGACAAGAAGGAACTATGCCTACAGGTGGCGCAACGTTGCCAAACATCCAAATTTTCAAATTTTAAAATAAGACATTTTTAACATAACATTCCGGCCGCCTTGAAATATAATTTCAAAATTAACAGCTTAACTCAATAACATTTTCTTGCTTACAAACTACCAAATTAACAACCAAATTCCTAATTGTTACAAATTAGCTTTTTACACCATAAAGATTCTCAGTTTAGGGTTTACAGTTTAGTTGGTTCGCTGCTGTCACAAGGTAATAGGCACAATTTTGTAACAGGCCTTTTATAGACACCATTCTTAAACTTTACCGACACCACTCTCAACACCGTCTGTCCCGGGATGTAACTCACAGCCCATCGGCGATTGCAAAGGAGGGCTGTTGGCTTCGCTCACCAGCACCATGGATCCTACTTTAATAGGACAGGGATCACCATGTTTCCATTTACTCCGGGATTGCAGTTCATGGAGGTACTCTTGGTGCCATCGCTTCCAGAAGTGTTGGACTATATACTGAAGTCTCTGGAACCTTGTTAGGCGATTTTCCGAGGTTTCAATGTAAGACTTTTCTGGGAGTGATACTAGACCTCTCCCAACAAGAAAATGAGCTGGAGTTAGGGGATTAAGTTAATCTGGGGAGGGTGAAATTGGACAAATAGGACGTGAATTGAGTATCGCCTCGATTCGAATGAGAACCATCGAGAAGTCTTCATAAGATAAGTGAGCCTTACCGACAACGCGTTTCAAATGAAATTTTAAACTCTTAACCCCGGCTTCCCAGATCCCGCCAAAATTCGGTGCACGGGCATGAAAGAAATGCCAACATATTTTTTGTTCTGTAAAATAAAATTTGACATCTTCCTGTTGATACTGATTATTAATGAAATTAAATAGTTCCTTTAGCTCACGATTTGCTCCCCCGAATATCTTGCCATTGTCTGTGTAAATATTTAAAGGCTTCCCGCGTCGAAACGTTTGAAAGTCGCTAAAAAACAAGAAGTAGTAAGATCAGTTAAAACCTCAAGATGCATAGCCTTTGTCGCAAGACATACGAATATGCATACATAGCCTCTAACTATGTATAACTCTTTATAGTATATAATATAAATATAATATATAACTCTTTCGAGTCATTCGGTCTTTAAGCAAAAAAGGTCCAGCAAAGTCACAACCGGTGTTATAAAAAGGTAAGTATTGATTGACCCTATTCTCAGGTAAATCACCCATAAGGTAAGTATTAAATTTAGGATTTAACCTGCAGCATGTAACACAATTTCTTATTATCTTTTTTACTTGATTTCTGCCCGAAATTGGCCAAAACTTGTCTCGAACTGACGATAAAAGAAGTGTATGTCCTGCATGCATAAGACGCCTGTGTTCTTCTGTAAGTATAAGTGTAGTTAGTAAGTTATGTTTAGGTAATATAATCAGATGTTTCTTGTCAAATTCATGGTTTGATTTCTCTGCAATTTACCTCCTACCCTTATTATTCCATTATGCATTAAAGGATTCAACGATAACAATGTACTTTTTCTACTTATAGGTAAGTTTTCTTGCATTCTTTGATACTCTGTTGTAAATGATTCTTTTTGTACTATTTTAACTAACTCATTAACAGAATGATCTAACTCTTCTATAGACAAGGTACCGCTTCTTTTAATTAAATTCTTTTTCTTAAAACGTAAACAATATGTAAAAACTCCTTAACTTGGAAAACTTAGAAAACCTTGAAATTATATCAAAATATTCAATTATTGTTAAACTTACAATATTTTTTTGTTCGGGTAACTCGTTTGGAAAATTAAAATCATCCTTACCTTGAAAACTTATTGGCTCAAAACTAGGATTTAAAAGCCATGGACCTGACCACCAAATTTTATTATTTAATAATTCTGTAGCAGCCGTTCCACGCGAAATAAAATCAGCGGGATTGTCAGCTGACTTGACATAATACCAATTCGTAGCATCTGTAAGTTGTTGTATCTCACTCACGCGATTCGCCACGAAGGTTTTCCACTTATTTGAAGGCTCTTGTATCCAGTATAAAGTTATCTGTAAATCTGACCAAAAGCAAATTTTATTAAATTTAATATTTAAATGTTGAATAACCTTTTGTGCCATTTTGCAAGCAACTACGCAGCACACAGCTCAAGTCTCGGCAGTGTTACCTGCCTAATTGACGCCACTCACGACTTTTAACAAAGTAAATTAGAAATACATTCGCCTTTTTTATTAATACTCCTTATGAAAATACAACAACCATACGCTTTTTGACTCGCATCACTGAACCCATGCAACTCTATAATATCATAATTCAAATACATTGCTCTTCTAAGGATTTCTAAATCATTCAGGTAAGTTTAATTATTTTTAAATGTCAACCAATCTGACTTAATAGAACCAGGTATTTCATCTTCCCGTCCTATCTTTGTCTCCCATAGTTTTTGCATTAATAGCTTACCCACTATAATAATCGGATTTACAAGACCTAACGGATCGTAAATCTGCGAAATCATTGATAAAATACTACGCTTATTTATTACATTATATTCTCTAATATTGACTGAAAATTGAATGGTATCTAAGCAAGCATTCCAAAGAACACCTAAAGTTTTACTTGACTCAGTTTCCCCAAATGTCATTACTTTTGAACCAATCTCTTCGTTTATTCTAAATTTTTCACATAGATTTTTCTTGTTACAGAGCCACTTTCGTAATTCAAATCCAGCCCCTGCCAAAATATTAGATACCTCACATTATAATTTTAGTAATTCCATTTCGCTATCAGCGCCCTCTATGTAATCATCCATGTAAAATGACTTAAGAATCGAATCACTTGCTTCTGGATAGTTTGTTGAGTTTTCTTTGGCTAATTGCCACAAACAACGCACCGCAAGATAGGGAGCAGACGCCGTACCGTACGTCACTGTATTAAGTTTATAAATCTTGACTTCTTCAGATGCATCAGACCTCCAGAAAATTTGCTGCAAACTTCTATTATTCTCATTCGCTGAAATCATACGATACATTTTACGCGGATACGTCCGCGGTCATAACATATTCGGATACGTCCGCGGTCATAACATATTCATACTTCCTAAATCTTAATATAATTGCTAATAACTCGTCTTGAAGAGTAGGACCACAATATTGAATGTCATTAAGTGAAAGACCTGACTTAGTTTTCATTGAAGCGTTGAATACCACACGCACTTTAGTGGTCACACTTTCGTCACGTACCATAGTATGATGCGGCAAAAAATATGAAACAGTATTATCAAATTCACCTTCTTTCACTTCAGTCATGTGACCCATGCTTAAATATTCATTCTTGAACTTAATATATTCCCTTTTTAACTCTGGCTTCCTTTCTAACCTAACTCCCTGGGAATAAAAATATTCCAAAGCCCTCTCCCTAGAATCTCCTAATTTCTTAATACTCTCTTTAAACGGTATGGAAACAAAATTTCCCTCTTGAATTCTTTGAAAATTTTTAGTAAAATGATCTTCACAAAATCTATCACTTTCACTCAAAACTTTATCTAAACCTATCTCTTCGATTTCCCAAAAACTTGTGATCATTTTATCCAAAGACGAACCTACCACCGTATTATTAATTTCTGTAAACCTAAACCTATAACATCGCCTACCATTCCGAATCCCAAACGGGTCTCTGTATAATACTTTTCGATTTTTCATTACGTAATTTTCCTCGTATAAAAGGTCCCAAAACACGGCGGACCCAAATTTAAATGTATTCGACTATTATTAATACCGTATTTATGATATTATCTTTAGCAATTATTTTAACATGCATGTTGTTTATAAATGGTGGGCCATAAATATTAAACCCACCCATTTGTTAACATTTAATCTGGAATCACATTTATTTACAAAGTACCACAAGCTGGTTTAGCTATTTGTGCATTTTGGATCACATAAATTTAACCGTAGTATTTATTCTTAAACTATACAGGGTGAGCCTTAAATAAGTGCAAATATTTTCAGGGATGGTAGATCTCGATAAAAGAAACATATTTTCTCTTTGTCGTTTTTTAAATAAGTCCAAAATAATTGAGTTATTTTACTTTGAAAATTTCCAAAAAATATGTTTTTTGCTTAAATTTTGAGAACCACTGGATCTTTTCTGGACTTTCTTTCTTGCAAATTTAATCTACTACCTATGTTGTTATATTATTAAGAAATTATCTTTTTTAACTAAAAACTAAAAAAAAATCCAAACATTTTTTTCAAAAAATTCCAAGTTTTCAATTTTTTTTTTCGCATATAAAACCTTATAATCGTGTTTCTGGGGTCGAAATATGCTACCACTAAAAATTTGAAGAAATTAAAATAAAATTAAAAGAGTTTGTCATGAACAAGTTTTTTATTAGATATTGCTATGTATTATTATTTAATATATTATACCGGGTGCGTCTCAAAACTGGCTCACCCCTATAACTTTTTTATTTTTTTAGTTAACATAAACGAGATTTGGTATGTTAGTATATGACATAAATTAGAATTGATTGATTTATTAAATTGTTTTCGGTCACTTCCTTACTTCAGTTTCACCGGAAATGACTACAACTTTTCATTTTTAAATGGCACTACTTTTTTACTTTATTCGATAGAAAATAGCACTATGAATAGAATGATATATCATATGTCAACTTGAAATAAAAATAAATAAAATTTGACTCGAGATACCAAGTGCGTGGTATCAAATTATTCGTAAAAAAATGCTTTTTCACAATATGCTAATGAACCACGGTCGTTCCATTTGAAAAAAACTGAGATATTATTAAAAATACGATTTGAGCATTTTCTAGCTGGCCACGACAAGACATTAAAAACATTAGAGGATTCAATCTATTTTTCCAAGGCTCCTTGATTAAGAATTGGTGTTTTTAACATAGCCATGGCACTCTAGATTGAAATTTAAAATACGATATTTTAAAAAGCCAGAATGTCAAAAGAAGATATGATATGTCATTCTATTCAGATTGTCATTTTCTATCGAATAAAGTTAAAAAATACGGGGAGTGCCATTTAAAAATCAAAAGTTGTAGTCATTTCCGGTGAAACAGGAAGTGACCAAAAACAATTGAATACGTCAATCAATCCTAATTTTGTCACATATTAACGTACCAAGTCTCGTTATTTTATCAGGAAAAATAAAACAGTTATAGGTGTGAGTTACTGTATTCATAGGTGTAATTCACTTTTGAGACACACCCGGTATATTCTTATTATATCTAAGCTACTTAGCTTAGATAAAAAGGCTAATTTATAACTAAATAATTAAAGATTTACTTAAAAAGGCTAATTTATAACTAAATAAGCATTTTAACAATCCTACTCTAAATGTATTTTTTCTTATTGTATAAGTAGTACGAGAGTTTCTCAAAATGTCAATAATAAAAAAGTGTTTCCTCTTGTAAAGACAATCTGGAGACATACTGTATAAGCTCAACAGTTTCAGGATTTAGATTAGTTCACACTTGATAACGGTCAGTGATACTTCTGACCGAAACGTTGTGTAAAGTAAAATAAATAAAGACAATGAAAGTCCCAAAATCCTTTTAATATCAATATTTCTGTTTTACGTTATGTGAAGGACCGCTGCACTTGATCATGTAATAGTGTCTTATTATTTCATTTTGTGGAAATCTTGATCTGTGAAATCTCTGAAGAAAATTATTTTAAGGTTGGAGCTTTAAAATAATGAACAGCTTCAAGACCTGGTACATATATTATATTTTCTTTTGCATCTTTGTAAAAAATAAAGTAAGATATTTTCAATAGGGGGACTGCTTTTTACAATAGACATCTTGAATGAACCAGTAATAAAGCGATTCAGTTAACTTATGACGTAGAGGTAAAGTTAAAGTGCATAGAGCCCATATCCACTTTCTAAACAGAGTTTGTAACGTTCAAATGGGAGAGAGCCAAGTCAACAAATTCGACTCGAGAAACACGAAGAGCGTGAAACTGTGTCAAACGGAGAACTCTATCTCGCGAACTAATTTGATTATGATTACTGCTTAGAGTTTTAATTGCTTTACTAAATTCGAGGTTGCAGATGTGTTAAATTAATGACTGGAATAACACGAACATTATTTTGAAGATGTACTAATAGATCAATTAATTGTTTTAAAAAAAATCTTAAGGTGTTACTTTTTACCACACTGTCTAATACACATACAAAATTCAGTTTTTTAGTATTTGGAGTAATTATTATTAACCAACGCAAACAGTCAATTAATGTAGATTGAATACTTGAATCATATTAATTGGTCCTCTTTAACAAATATTTAAAAAGTGTTTTCGACAGTATTATATACTCTTAAAAAATTTGTTACATCTTTAAAAATAATCTAAAATGTCAATATTCCATGGGTATATTGATAAATATGGTCTAAATTATAAGAAAATGCATTTTCTACGAAAACTTGAAGGGATAGGTAAAAAATGGTTTAATACAATTTGATAGACAATTAAATTGTGCATCTGATTCTCATAAAATATGCAGGGTGTTCAATATAAATTAAACAAGTTATTGCCATTTAAAGCTAGTAATTATTTAAAATAAATTTTAGACACTCTGTACTGTTTGACAAGCGGATCTGAAGCTACGGAAGGAATGTGAGAAAAAAAAATCGATATTGCCACGTTTATCTATAAAATTACAAAATTGCCAGACATGAACTATAAATTTAATATATTTTTATTATATATAATGTGTTTATCATATATATTCTGAGGTATATCACTAAGGAATTTTAACGTAGTTCATATTGTTGGATATGTTTTATTTAATAACTTATTTCTTTCATTCTGTATAATCTGCTTACTACGAAAGGTGAAGATATATCAAGGACATCATTGACAAACCGGCATCGCCGCGCATGGCCGCCTATTCATCGAACATAATTGGCGTGAGTACGTCACAGGATTTGTTACCACGCGGTTGCTATGGCTTTTACGCCTTTCCTATTCGCTAGCCTTATCCCCAACTTCACGGTCGCTTCTGAAAAGAGTGGAAATATTGAATACTATTGAAATATCCAGTGGCGGTGTCATTCTTTTGATCATTATTACTTTCTTTCGTTATTTTATACCGGTTATCCTAAACTTTATTCCTATATTTTTCTTATATTTAATAGTTAAGTTGTGTTTTATTGTTTTGTTATCTTGTTGTAATGTTTTTCGTTCGTAGTTTTTAATTATAAGTTTGATCGTATATTTGTGTTTTAAAATGAATAAATTTGTTAAGGGTAAGACGCTACATAGCCAGGATAAGAGAAATAATAGCTAATTTATATAGGTAAGTAGAATAATAATAATATAATTATTAGAATATTAAAATTAAATTTGGCTAAAATGAAAAGCACCCCCACATTTTACCTAAATATTTTAGCTAAATTAAATAAATGTAAATAAACGTGGATGAAAACTCCTTTGATTTAGGTATTTCGTTGTGTTCATAATAGGGTTTGCGACGAAGAAGCTACAGATACTTCGCTTAAGTTGCCGCTTAAACGTAAACTTAAGCGGATATCTCTTTATACCGGAGTCAGCGTATCGGCTATAAAAAAATTCACACAGAAGATAAAAAAAGACTGGAAACTAACCCCGATAAAATGATATCCAGCCCTGGAAAGAAACGGCCACGTGAGACTGCTGTTGAAAAGCTCGACTTTGATTTCCAAGTGGTCAGGAATTTGATAAATAGATTTTATCTCAAATTCAAAGTCATCTCCACAATTAGAAAGCTTTTGCAAAAATTGCAGGAAGAATTGAATTTTCCTTTAAAAAGTGCTGGCGGAGCGATACCTACTGGTGTGTAAAATTATGTTTTGTTTGCGCTTCCAAAGTTAACTATTTTCAAGATTTTTTTTTTTGCTGGAAATAGTTATATCTAAAATAATGTATTATAGAAAAAAATATAGTTAGTACAGATATATAAATAAATATACCTCAAGACTCAGTCTTGATCATCTGCTGATGATGTTAACATGGTTAGCGAAACGTGCGTCCAGTGTAAAAGTAAAAGTGTTTTGGTGTATTGTGCTGATTTAGTGTTTTATTTTGATGTGTAACACGAGAGGTTCCAACCCCCAGCTGTAATTATTTCTTCCATTATATTAACAACACATAATAATAAAATTATTCAAAATATTTAAGGGAGCTTTAATAAAAGCTTTTAGTGTTTATCTGCTAACTCAACAGTAACGATTCAAACAGGATAAAGTTTTTTGAAAAAAAATATTAATCTAAATATTATATTTATGATACACATTATTTCCATAAAACACCGTACGCCCATGCCTATTTTATGAATGAAATTGGGCGTGTTTTGTTTACAACTGCGTTCCCCTGCCGATACCCCGTAGCTACATGTCCGTTGGTCACACTATATAAGGTAGTATAATTTTTATTATTGCAGCAGAAAACTTAGTAAATAGAAATACTTCAGTACAATGTTTGGTTTTAAGAACTTAAATACGTCTAGAGAAATGAAGCATTAAAATTATTACTGTATTTTGACAAAAACTTAAATATATCAAAAATGGTAA